GACACACTGGGGGTTTATGCTTCTGAATGTTTCCCTCCCCCATCAATCAGCCTCCTCACTGACTCCTTTACTATTCTATTCTGGCAGCTCTAGTCTTCCTCTGAGTATTGCTGCAGCCACTTCCCAGAATCCTAGATCACTTTCTCTCTTCCCTGAGCTGTCAACAGTGCAGGACTCTTCAAACCTGGTTCCTTAACACCCAGTGAGGGCACCATCTAACAGCCTTCTAAATCACAGGCCACCCCACCAGGGGAACAGGATGAATATAATGAACATATCCTCGGGGAAGCTAAATGGCCTCCCGCAGAATCTTGAATGAATAATAGAGGAGACTGTTTTTAACATAAGGAAAGAAAATTATTGCACATAAGTTCAAAAAATGCAAAAGCATGCAAAAAAGAGTATTATGCTAAAAGTTTTCAGCAAAGCCTCCTCTATAGAGGAAAACCACTGAACTAACTTTTTGTATGTCCTTCCAGAGAGGGGCAGAGCACACACAAGCATTTGCTCATATATGTAGAGTCACATATAAATAACTGTCCCCTACTTGGCAGCTGGAATTTGAAACCAGGCCTGTGTACCTCCAAAGATTATGGCCATTTCATCAGACCTACAGCCTCAGACAACAGAATTGGGAAGTGATTTAACAGTTCTCACAACCAGCACACAGCTTTAACCTCAGGGAGGTGTCTGGACATAGGAAAAGGTAAGGGCTGGAGGCTAAGACTTAAGGTCAGAATAAACTTCCAGTTGTGAACTGATGTTCCCAAGTAAGCCTTTCAGTTCACTGGGCCTTAGGTTAGTCCTCTGAAAATATGAGTGTTAGATGAGATGGTTTCTTCTTTAAATTTTTCATTTTATGAATATTTTGCCTGCATGTATATCTGTGTACCATGTGTGTGCAGTACACATAGAGGTCAGAAGAGGATGTTGGATACCCTGGAACTGGAGTTAAAGAGGATTGTGAGCCACCATGTGGATTCTGGACATTGAAACCAGGTCCTCTGAAAGAGCAGCCAATGCATTTAACTGCTGAACTGACTCTCAAATCCTGAGATGAGTTCTTAGGCTCATTCTAGCCCGGATAGTCTAAGAGTTTACCTAGTCCAAAGTCAAGATGAAGGACCTTGAACTCTGGAGGCAAACAGACCTCTCAGAAATTCTGTGACCTTGGGTTTGGCATGACTGTCTCTCTGATCTTAGTTTGTGTCACTGGTAAGAGGCATGCCTGAGTTCCAGATTCCAGGATGGATAGTTTGGACCCATTTGTTCCTTTGGGGTGGGCTGTAGAGAGGCTGAATGATGAGGTCAGCAAAGCTTTGCTGAACTTAGGGCATGTCCAGGGCTTAGCCAGACCACACAAAGTGTACAATGCACTGTACACCGTGCACTATGGTCCTTGTGGCATCCACAGAGCCAGGATTCTGTTGCCTGTTAAGTCTTTGGAAATCGCCTGACTAGGGGACATCATCTGTGGAGGTAGATGAGACAGGAAGTCTTCTCCTCTGCCTGGAGAGTGGCAGTTTGTTTGCTCCTCTGGTGGCCTTCAGGATCTGCCTGGGGCATACCCTCCCTGTAGCAGCCAGTTTCTTAAAGCCGAAACACAAACTGGACACTGGACACTCCTTCCCCATAGCTCGTCAGTGGCTTCCTGTTTGTCACAAAGACAAAGTACAGATGCCTCGAGGAAGCTGAAGAGGCTGTCGTCGGTCAGGACTGTTTTCTTCCCCACCCTTTCTTTAGACCCTCTGCTTTAGCATGTGGGAGTGTGGTTAGCTCCCCGGGGGTACTAGCTCTCCAAAAGCTGCAAGCCTGTGCATGCACCTGTGTCTACAATGCAAGATCCCTTCTCCTGGCTCACGTCCTAACATCCTCCTGACATAATCCCTAAGCAACCCTTGACTGACTATATTTCATGTATCTAGTGAGATCTTTTCTTCTCTTTTGTGATGCTAGGGATTGAATTCAGGACCTTGCACATGTTAAACAAGCACTTTGCCATTGAGCTACATCCCCCGCCTGTCTGTCTGTCTGTCTGTCTGTCTGTCTGTCTGTCTGTCTGTTTGAGACAGGGTCTCAGTAAGTTACCTAAGCTCGCCTCCAACTCTCTGTGTAGTACTGGCCTTGAGCTTTCAATTCTCAACTTCTTCTTTTTTTGTTTGTTTGTTTGTTTATTTGTTTGGTTGAGTTTTTGAGACAGGGTTCTCTGTGTAACAGCCCTGTCTGTCCTGGAACTCGCTCTATAGACGAAGCTGACCTCGAACTCACAGAGATCTGTTTGCTTCTGCCTCCCAGAGTGCTAGGTTAAAGGCGTGCACCACCAGCATGACTCTCAACTTCTTGAGTAGCTGAGATTACAGATGTGTGCTGCTGTGCGCAGCGTGGTAAAACCTCCAGATTTTTTCTGAGTACAGGCATTTTTATTTTACACAAATGGCGCTGTGTTATATAAGCACAATATGTTTCCTTTTCCAATTCCAGGTTAGGGTCTTAAGATCTTTCATGTCACATACCAGAAGTACTGGGACACACCTTTAATCCCAGCTCTCAGGAGGCAGAGGCAGGTGGATTTCTGTGAGTTGAAGCCAGCCTGGTCTACATAGTGAGTTCTAGGATGGCCAAAGCTACATAGTGAGATCTGTATGGAAAAAAAAATAATAAAAAAGATCCTTCTTGCCGGGCGGTGGTGGCGCACGCCTTTAATCCCAGCACTCGGGAGGCAGAGCCAGGCGGATCTCTGTGAGTTCGAGGCCAGCCTGGGCTACCAAGTGAG